AATAAAAAATAGATGGGGTCAATTCGTAAATATTAAAGAATTAAGAAAGAGAATATGCTCAGAAAGGTGTAGAATATGGTGTAATACATTGGAGTAAAATTCAAAACTATTTTAGTGTTACACTATTTTGGTGTAAAAAATAGTGAATTACCCAACATCAATTTCTCTTTAGATTCATTCTTACATACATCTAAACTCATTTTCATGGTAAAATTGTAAGTAAGAGAAGCATTAAAGACAAGAAAGTTAAATCCATCAAGTCTCCAAATGTGTTTACACATTCTCTAAAACTAGGTCTAAGCAATCCATATCAATATTAAAATTAAAGAAAACATCAAAAGAAAAAGAGATAAAAATTTGAGAAACAAATCCAAATAATGGAGATTGAAACAATCTTCAAATTGTCTAAATTGATCCACAATCCTCCAAATCCAATTGTTTGGGGGTCTTTTAGGCCATGAAGGCCTTCCCAAATGGTGTTTGCTCTCAATCCTAACATTCTTTGTCTTCCCGAAATGTTTTTTTCCCAAAAATCATGTAAAATGAGAGGTTTTAGAGCAAAAACGCGAAATGGGTCACGAAATAGGTTGGATTCGGGTCTGGTTCAGATCTGGTCAACTTTGGGTTAAGTCTGGTCAACACGAGGCCACTGGTCAATTCTGAGTCAACTGTAAACAATTTTTTTGGCGAGAATGATATGTAGTGATCGACTAAATTGAATGTAAATTTCAAACCAATGATCCGAATGGCTTCAATCTAGCGCCAAATGAAAGCTAACTCATATTCGCATCTTGTGACCAAATTTGAGCCTGATACACCAACGGTAAGACCTTCATCCAACATTATCTTTGAGACGCATTTCTTGACTATTCATGGACAATAGTGTATTCTCTATTTGCTTTGAAACTCTATGCATCTTCTTTGATCCAAAGCACTCCAAAGTACGTAATTGAATACAAAATACCAAAAACAAGAACAAAGACACTCTAGGACCCTTAAAATGCAACAAAACTCAAATGGAGTCTAAATGCAACAAAAACATCATGAAAAGCAAAATAAACACAAATTAATGAATGAAATTATGAGACTCAAAATGGTAAAATATATGATTATCAATGATAAAATTTTACATATTAGCAAAACTAAACCGAGATAAATCCTGAAATGTCCAGCCATATAATATACTTTTCTATTGATCTGAAGTCACTTTCTTTCTGTTCTTACAGAAAGAAATCACCAATGGGAGTTGGTGCAACCCAAATTTGCAAGCCAAACTTTGTCGGCTCTTTACTTTATTGCTTAGCATTCACATGAAATCTCACTCACTCCCTCAGTTTGCAATTTGTAATCATTAGACATACTTTTAGCTTTAATTTAACCAAACCTATACCTACCACGCATGCACCACCGATCTATTGACTGTTTCTCTCAAACACTATTATAACATTTTTAAGCCATTGTCTATAAGCCTTTACATTCGCTTTTGGCCCGTGGATTCTACTTTTTACCGACGATTGATAAATTACTTCAAAAGTTTGAAAGACTTGACAGGTACTCTTGCATATCAACAATATTGATCTCATGGTTTGTTTCCTCATTGAAACGGGGTATTACATATTTCTTTTAGTAGGTCCTACATATTTGAGTTACTCAAGCTCAATCATGATTAGATGTTAAGTTCTTTCATTAAAGTTATAAAACTATAAGTGCATAACATAGATATTCAAATCAAAATTCTAGCATTTTTACACGCACCACGTTTTTACACAAATCGAAATATTGCAACAATCCTTGTTTACTTCTATTTATATAATGCAACGTCTCGTTGCAAACCAAACATGCATAACGATTTGCACTCGTCTTAATTTTACTCATATACTTTTTGTAACGGCTCGACTCCTATTACACATGACTTTCCCACTAGCTAAAGCATACACCTTATAACATGGATAACGAATATGCAAACTATTTTTATTAGAATACGCATGAATCCAAGCAGCATTGCCTTTCTTCACTCACGGGATATTGTTGGATCACGCTTTTGCCCATTCTCAAGATACTCTAATGTTGCATGGTGATTCATACATAGTGGCGGTCATGACGTTACACTATCAATTTTTTTCTTTTTGACGCACAAGATTAAATTTTAATACTTCAGCATAAATGATTCTATTTAGGTTGCTTAACATGAATAGATCGATACAATGCACAAATAGACTTCGGATGTGACCATAAATTTGAAACTTCAAAAAATCAGATTTACATAAGTGCTAACGGTTTATTTCAGACTAGTTATTGCAAATTTAATCAGGTTACAGACACTTAACTCAACAAGTATGCACACATGTATACATATTGCATATTGGTATCATGAATTCTTATAGTCCCTCCGTTTTAGAATAATTTATAAGATAGTGATAATATCAAAATACAAACAAATTTATTTCGTTTTCAATACCATTGTGTGTTGGTTGTGTTTTTGTTCTATAGTGAATGCTTGGAAATCTACAATTTTTGTTGTTTAGCTTGATCAAGTAAAGCAATTTATTGTTCGAGTATAAGTAGTTTTCCTCTCACTAATTGCATTCAAAAATATACTTGGCTTAAATAAAGCTACAAATTAAATACTCGTTTATAAATGGAGACACAAATGCATTTGTGCCACTCCATGTGATGCAATTAAAATGTTTTCACACTCCCAAAATCTACGTCTCTCACAAGTCAACAACACCATATCCCACACCCACAGTCACAAGCTAAGCCTTTATTTATTTATAACCTCGTCTAGATTCTGTTCCTTTTTTATTCATTTATTAGTTACATTCTTGATTATCTCGGTCTACAAGATTCCTAATCAATTACAACTTGTATAGCATGTGGAATATTAAACCACATGGTTAACTTACCAAGAAGAGAATATGTTCATCAATTACCATTAAACAAGCTTTTTTTTTGTTATTTTTGGTTCTAAACCATTAAACAATTTAAACTTGTATTTTTGTATGGTTGAAAAATTCCAAACTAAAATTCAGAAATCGTCAAAAGCCAAATAAATCTCTAAAACATGTAAAGTTATTTAATAGGATTCTAATGCGAAAAAAAAAAAAATTATAACGATCTTCGTATATGGTAAAAGTCGTTGCATATCTTAAACTCTAGAATTTTTCTTCCACTTGCACTTGGCCCCAAGTTTTTGGTTAATTTCATTGAAATAAAAACTACTGCATCCATTCAAATGCAGATATTAGAGTATCCATTCGATGCAAACATGTGATCCAATATTTAACACTATAATGCATAAACTTTTGTGCATAAATTCATTGAAATAAATTAAAAAAAAGGTGGAACAAAAGGCAAAAGAACATGAACCCGTGATATGATTTATGTAATCATAAATTGAAAACAAACAGTAAACTTAGCAAACCAAAGGCAAAATGTGACATAACAACACAAAGAACATATCAGAACTCTGTTTGATAATCTTGTCCCCTTACAAAAGCATTTTCCCTCTCATCATCAATGCTTCTTCAACCACATTCACTCTGTTTCATTA